CCCGCAACAGTTGAGCACCTCTTTTATGACGCCGCTGTACCTGATTACCATCCCGAGCATGGTTTTTGACAGATTTTCTTTTGTTTTTTGTGTATTTTTTGTTGGCTGTATCAGCAAGTGAAGTGTTTTTTTGGTATTTGATTGGCATATTTTTTTTAATTTTATTTTATATTGATGTCATCCTTTTCTTCTCATTTCAGGCTCTCTCATGTACGAATATAATATATTATTATATAATATAATATAATGTATAATAATAATATTATATATTAAAAATATTATTATATATTATTATTATATATTAAATAATTATATAATAATATAATATAATGTCGCAACCTGCGCGGCTAGTAGGTTGCTGAGTAATCGGAATAATTTTGCTTTCTGAATCCCTGCATTAATAAAGTTGTAAATAGATTTATAGGCTGGTAATAATTTAGTTATTAAATTCAACAATTCTCTCTTTACAACTGTAAGTACCTAAGTTGATTGAGAATTAATCAATATGAGAGTCAAAAAAATGTGATTTCACATTCATATTGCACCCTAATGTCTCAAAATATTTAATTATTTTAGCTTTAATTTTGTTAGTTTTCACTTTATTTTTATTCAAGAAATTTATTATAATAAATTTATTTAAAACTATTTCTTACAGCTTTTTCTTTATCATGTTTTCTCTTCATTCATGTGTTTCTCTAAGCATTTTACTAATTTGTAGCACATCAAAAACGCCTTTTTTTAGTTTTGCTTTAGAATTGTTGTTTTAAGTACTTGTAACATTTTCCTTGCTGTATTTTATTTAGGAAATTAGCAAATTGCTTCATTAAGCCTAATTTAATATGTATAAGTATAAGCAGTATTATTTAGAATTCACCAGAGCTTCATGGATTAAATCCATCGAATTAACCTGAATCAAAGTCCTTTGAATTCATACTTTTCCGGTGTGATGATTCTTACGGTCATGACTAACCCACTATCATGTAAGAAACAAGGATACTTAGTGAATCCAGATTGTTGCCCTAAAATGACTGTTAAAATTATGAAATGCAAACTAATCTGTATTCTGGATATTTTGTTTTATTTAAAACTAACTGAATATCTTCATAGTGCTCTTTAAGTTCTGTCGAACTTGCTAGAGGTATCGGTGATCATACGTTCATATTATGAAATAATACTGCCTTCAGACTATTTCTTGAAAAATCCAAAAACATTCTCCACTCTTCGTCTTTGTAAACACCAGGTTCCGACTTATCCATGATCCCATTTACATCGTTACCGTATACTAATGAGGGTTATTCTGACATAGTAAAGAATTGCCTGCATGCCTCTTCTTTATTATGAAAACTGTGTACTTTCACGTTTTTCTTCAATCAATTTTTATGTTTTTTAAATAATATTAAATATTCTGCTATATATTTTGGCAAACCTAGGTCTGTCACGAGATTATTCAATTATTCCTTTGAAATTTGTTTTCAAGCTTTATCGTTCTCATTATAATGAATGTAATATTTGTTGTTATCAGATAATGCATCATCGCTTTTATCAAAATCCTCTTTAACGGTGACTACAATGTCACTTTATTCCATTTCTTCATTGTTATCGGAGCCAGAAATTGCTAAAATCTCTATGGATGATTTATACTCACGATATTATCATCGTCATCATTGTCATTTTCTCCTTTTTTCTTTTTCTTTTTCTTTTTTCTCTTCTTTTTCTTCTTTCTCTTCTTTTTCTTCTACTGATCGATCTACTAGTCTTGTAACTGACGATACTTCAACGTAAGTTAAACTACCTTTTTTATACTTATTGGCTTCTTTACAAATATTCTGACAATAAAAACAATTTTGCTCATCTATTGGTTCATTGCATATTGTTGATATTATAAATATCACTTCTTTACTCTGTTAATGATTATTTCAGTGATTTAAGTTTCATGTTATTTTTTTGTATCTGTACGTTAGAGATCCAAGTCCGATCGTTGAGGAATCCACCGTTCTACTGTTGATAACCTTCATTCCTCCCTAGGCCTATGTATAAAGGTTTTCCCGACTTTTTGACGAAGAATTGATCATCTCGTCAGATACACTACAGCTTCGTTCTTAATTCTCTGACACTTCCTAGCAAAGCAGCCCGCCTCAGCTAGCTTCAATATCTCGGAATATCATAAGATGGATTATGCCACACATCCCTTCTCAGGTAGTCACCATCTGCAGCATATTGTGAGATAGCAGGATTGCTAATAATGTCACGGAAAAGGCGAGAATTGTAGATCAACAAGTCTGCTCCTGCGTTAATCCTCTTTCAAAATATAGATTCAACAATTTTCAAACATCAATTTTCTTACCAAGATATTATGGGTACTTCTTCCACACCATGGCGGTGAAAGGCCCGCGCTAAGTAAAAACTATAAAGAAATAGTAACTGAAATGATTAAACATTTCAAAGCAATGTTCTCTTCTTTAAAAATATTTTTCCTTTCAGAATTCGATTTTCAATTTGTAAAAATTTTTGAGTAAAATTCAATTTGAACGTCAAAACTTAACTAAAGTCGAGCGTGTACATTTTAACAGCTGAGAAACCAAATCCACAAGCTTCAAATGGACTAACCCCTAACTTACAAATCACAACCCGCAAAACACAAACCTCAAACTTACAAGCTTCAAACCAACAAGCCCTTTCTCCCATAGTAAAAGATTTACAGGCACAAGGTTATAGAATTGGGGCTTGTGACCTCAGATTTGGTAGGTTTGAGACTTGTAAGCTCAGGATTGGTGGGTTTGGAATTCATGAATTTGTGTCTTGTAAGCTTGAAGTTATTAGATTTGGAATTTATTGGCTTGGGATTGGTGGATTTGAGGTGTCTAGGTTTATGGATTTTGGATTTATAGGTTTGAGGTTAATGAGTTTTGATTTATAAGTTAATGGTTAGTCATTTTCAAGCTTGTAGATTTGGAGTATCTGCGGTTGAAATGTAGGGGCTCAGGATTAGTTAACTTTTGGCAGTCAAATTGAGTTTGACTCAAAAAATTTTACAAATTCAAGCTCCAAATCTGAAAAAGGAAACCTCTAGAGAACTTCTTATTACTTATTACTAATTTCTAAAGATTTTTAATGATTTGGATGCTAGTTGAATAGCCAATGTAAGGTTAGGTTGCTTATAATAAATACTGAGAAATTTAGAAGCATAAAAATGTCAAAATACAATAACTCTGCAAAAAAATATATTTGACTAAATATATTTGACTAGACCTAACGGAATTCAAAAGTACAAGATTGGCACTTTAAAATATTCTGAATACTTCTAATGAAAAGAACAAACTTTTGTTGCTGCATAACCTCATAAGTCAAAATATGTCAAAAAACTATATTTTTTGCGATTTTGTGTTAGAACACCTTAAAAACCTGACGTGATAGAGCAATTATATAATCAGTTTCGGTTTATGCGCGATAAATTATTACAATAATGATTGTTGACTATTTAATGTTTAGGAGCAAAATCTTGTAGGGTAGCGTAATCTATATTGCTGTGACGGATAAAATTGTATTGATCACAAGAGAAATTGAAGTCATAGTAAGCAGACAGTAAGTCTTAATCAAATAAATAATGGTTTTATTTATTTATAAATAATTATTCACGATGATTCAAACAATTTATTCATTAAGTCAATCCTTATATTTTAAGTTTCTAAGCTTTCTTAATATAAATTAAATGTTAATGTCTCTCTACATTAAAATATTAATTAACTATTTAAAAGAGCGCGATTAGAGTGACACCACCTCATCATAAGCATATTGCTTTCTGGACTTATGCTCGCAGCTGAGATAGCTCAAGCAAGTAACATAAGCAGTTTGAAGTTACGTCCTCGTTTTGGATTTCGTGATGTAAATATCTCTCCTGGAATTCCTTCTAGCATTGGTTTCCATGTTTCATATGATTGCATTGATAGTTGATGATGAAAATGTTTGCTTTCTTCTCAATTAAACCTTATAATTTTTAGAGAGCAATTTACGACCGTGTGTGTGCTTTGTCCTTTCAGTATTTGAAGACCTGATTTGATCTTTCCGTTAGGCTTTCACAATGTGTCGTGATATGCCATTTTTCATGGCACTGGTTGTAGCATGCGGCTGTTTTCCAAACTCTGCAGTTCACCGAACCAATACCAAATGTTCTACTATCATTCATCAACTTTGTTGTAGCTCTTTCTAATGACAGAATACTGGCATCATGTGTTCCACTGTAAGCTCCTCTAACTTCCAAAGATTCTGTATCTGTCTATTTTAAGTTGATGACCATATTAATTGCTTCCACCACTTCTGTTTCTGTAAAATCATATTCATATTAAGTATGCTTATCGTTTTCCTGTGCGTCAGTTTCAGACAGTATGATATTAGCAAAAAAAATGCTACGGACATTTTTTTCGTAATTCTGGTATCTCCAGTAAGGTGTGTTTTGTATCATCTTCTTCATCTCCGCATAGCCGGTAGTTATTGCTGAGCCTATGGCCTCTTTTGATCAGATGCACTCGAAAACATCCACATTCACTAAGTTTCTAACAAAGTCAGTCAATATTCGACTAAAAACTCATTTCTTGATTTTTGGTATGAGTGCGTACATGTTTCGTCCACTACTCAACGAATCTCAGTTCCCCTGCCATCTCTAAAATAGTTTCCCTTGTTTTTTTATCACGGACGCTTTCTCTTTTCCTCGGTGATTTTTGTTTTACTCTGTCGACTCTCTTCTTGCTCAAGCCATACTACCTCTTACCGATGGTGATTTACGCGCGCGCACGCGTGTGTGTGTATGTGTGTCGGTATGAATAAGTCGGTGAGTTCTAGATGGATAATTTTTACCAAGGATATGTATACAATACAGTGATAAATTGATTACTATAAGTTCTATGCTAGATGAAATCTCAACAGGCCTCAAAAAATAATATATATTACTTTTTAACAATATGTCTTTTATCGTCATAGCTAATATTGTAATATTTTTTTAATAGTGCATCCTATACTAAATGGAACATATCCACTAACGGAGTTAAAAAATATCGTACAACCTTTATCATCAGAGAAACGAAAGAAAGGGAAAACTTATGGGTTAATTACTCAATTATTGTTAGAATTAAACCAATTAGAAGGAGCAGCATGGACAAATGAAAAGTGGAATTCAAGTGGTCTTCATTGGAATGATTTCGTAGATGATGAAGTCAATATAAGCCAGATTATTAAAAAACATGTAAGTTTTTGTTGATTGGTAATGTTATACTAATTATGATTCATAAAAGGCCTGTTTTGTATGACATTATAAGTTATGCTTCAGGTATGCGTAAGGTAGACGTAATGTTGAAAATCACGAAAAGAAAATTATTATTTTCGTATATTTTCATGGCTTAATTCCAATCATTTATTAATCTAATACATGAGAAATACCCCTAAATTCTATTAATAGTAGTATCAAATTGACTAATTATGTATATAGATACAATGGATAGTAGTATCTATATAAGTTTATGGATTGGAAGAGTCTAAGCTATAACAATAAAAAATATTTTAAAGAAAATCTAGATTTTCTTTCGTTTTTTAAAATTATTTTAACTTGTATTTTCATTTGTGTTCATTTACATAATCTAACACTATTACTTTCAATAATTGGTCGATCTCTTCTTATTTCAGAGATGAAGGTGAGTAGTTCCTAAAGTGAAAGTGTAGGGCACGCATCGTGCGAGGTATTTTCGATCTTAGGTGATGGTTAGATGGAATTTTTTTTTCATTCCTTCAAAGTGAATTTGGCTTTATTTTCCGGATTATTCCATGAATTTTTTATATACAAATTGTTACATGATTTTTAGACATAAATTGATGTGCTTTTACACGAATATCGACAATCCATACTTAAACATTCGAAAATTAGCCACTCTGCATTGAAATCACGCGGATAACACTATTCGTTAGCCTTGTAATGAAAAATAAACAATTCTCAATATTAAATAGAAATATTCTTTATTAAGTCACGAACTTAGTCTTAGTAGACACAGCTCGTTACATCAATGTGCCGTTCAAAATTTTATTCTGACATGAGAGAAAATTAATTTAGGCTGCTTTTTGCTCATAAGAGAGGAACTTGTGAGTTAAGTTCTAATAAGGAAGGTACCCCAGCTCGAATTCACCGATTTTAATAATTCTGGTATATGTTGTAGTATATTGAAAAAAAAAGAGATTCGTATTTTTTTATCGTTCAAAACTCAATTATTTTTTCACTGCGAAAATTCATGTCAATTTTTCAATTTTTCGTGCATTAAAAATAGGGGTTGCAACCACAAAAAATTAAACACACCAGAATTTGTTAGACCTTTTAGAAAGATTATTATTCCCTTGGTTTTACTAAAAATATTGATTAGGAGAAAAGTTATTTGAAAAATACTGTTTTTAATTGTGAACTTAGAGGAAATAAATATGTTTTTAGGACAATAAAAAAAATACGGATTTCTTGTGTTTTGATGTACTATAACCTATACAAGAATTATCAAAATCAATCAGTTCAGGTTGGGGTATCTTCCTTGTAAGTCAATCATTAAGGAGAGAAAGGTAACAAGGCTAACCACTGAATAACTGAAACATATCTCAGAAAGAGGCTGAGAGTTTATTTCTTCTCAAACAAGGCGAATTCGTACCCGTGGCAGAGGGGGGTCCCTTGGACGCTGTGTAGCTCCTTAAGCACTATTTTAGCAATATTGCACAAATTTTGAACAGGTTTTTACGCGATTGTGAACGCAAAGTGAAAAGTATATATTTTAACAATTGAATTTAAGACCCACAATTTTATGTCATTCGTTTAAATAAACGAATAGAAGAACATTTACATCACAATCAACATAAGCTTTTAAAACAATTTTAGTTTATAGTGCACAGAAACTTATTCAAGATCGTATTTGTAAATTTAACACATGCAATTTAAATAATAATTTATTTAAGAATTCGCACATTTGTTCTTTTACTGATATAAAATCGACGAGCGAATAACAATAGTTTTTACCAATTTTATAATTATGCACATTCAGATCGTCATGTTGCTATACAATTTTGAATAAATTATTAATTTTTATTTCTAGATAACTATGTTCAATAGTTAGTTATCAATTTGTTAAATTCTTGTTTTTTTTCCTTAAAATGTTAGTAGATGAGCTATGGCGGTTCTAAAACACTTGAGAACTCCCGATGACACAATCTGTATTTTAGAACTGCGACACGGTTTTCGCGAAGACGGATGCAGTTATTTGTAAAAAACCGTACTATGGTTCGTGAGGATGCCTCTATCCTAAAAATTAAAAAAAAAAGACGAAAATTTATTAATTATTCTAAATAACGCAATCCGTGTTTTAGAACTACCACCGGATTTTCACCGAACCCAATGTAGTTATTTATGATAAAAAAATTTATTCTTGTTAGTCAAGATGCCCCTATTTTAAAAATGCAGTAAAAAGACGAAAATTTATTTATTATTATAAATAAATGACAATGCTGTTTCCGCAATGAAACAGCTAGTGTTTTAGACTGTATCAGCTATCTAATATACCTTTGAGAAGAATCTTGTTTCTGTTTATAAAAGTAGTGTTAAAATTTATTTAATAAATACATTTTATCAATAAATTATAAACGGAATGTGCACGGATAGGACGTTGAATCAAATTTGACACTATTTAATGAAATTTACAATTATTTGTATTAAAAAGTATTATATAAGTATATGATTCAAAATATATTTAAAAAATAAACATAATTAACATTAAAATAAATTTAAATATATATTTCGGAGATCGGCTAGAGGTCTTCTTTGTAGTGGCGCTGGTGATGGTGGTAGTTGTGGTGGTGGCCACATTTGCCTCGATAGTGCCGAGGAGAGGGAGCGATCGCCTGTTTGAGTCGTTGAATCGACTCATTTTGTTTTTTTTGCTGCTGCGGTGTCGCCTCTTGTGCTGTTCCATCAGGAAGTACTCTCATGTCTTCCTCCTGATCTTCAATGATTTCTCGAACATTGGAAAGATGAGTATGAATCGGTGGGACAGCGCTTGTACGTGTATCCCATCGAGTCCACTTCTTACGTAGCGCCTTTCTGCTTCGCATGGCGACAACTTCGGTTTTGCATACGACAACAAACTTGTGACGCGCAAGGTCCTCCTCTCGGTTCTGCTGTAGCTTCTTCAGCACACGAGTCAATCTCAAAGCACAGAAGAAACCAAAGCGAGAAGCTTCAGCCTGTAAATGGGAAAAAGAGAATTATTATCTTCAATATTAACAAAATACACACACAGACACACACACACACACACACACACACACACACACACACACACACACACACGTGTACGCACGAATATATACATACACATAGATATATATAAAGAAAAGGAAAACTTTATAACGGGGATTTAGCCCGGTTTATCCCGTAAATATAAAAAAAGAAACAATAAATGGGAAATGTTCGAGCGAAGTCTGAAGCTTCCTGGATTGTCCGTCTTCCCAGGTCCGGTGCTCGTCATGCCGGTGATAGGACAGCCGGATCTGCGCAGATTCGTAGTGTTGGCCAAAAAACGCGAAAGTCGAAGATTCAAGAGCGGGCGTCGGCGCGAAAAAGCGTAACGTTCGAAGAAGGCGGCGGGATACGATTAAATAAAAAAAACTTACGGGGAACAGTATTTTTAATCGATAAAAGTTAACAAAAGCGGTCGGAAGGAGGGAGAGAGCACGCTGAAAGGATGGATAGAGAGTCCTCTAGGCACGCAAACGAGTCACACGGTTTGCGTTGACGCGCACGCACGAATTGTAGGGCACCACGTACACTATGCGGCTCGGTTTCTTCTAACGAAAGTTCCTCGCGCAACAAAGTCCTGCTCTACCAGCTACAATTTCGTCCTAATCAATCAATCAGTGCGCGCGATCACTCACTAAGACGCGACTATGTTTCTCTCTCTCTCTCTCTCTCTCTCTCTCTCTCTCTTCGCGTCTCGCTATCGCGCAGAGAGGTATCCCTGCGTACTCGCATCTCTCTCTCACCTCATTCACCTTATTCCGAACAGAAGGGTAATTACATATGCAGATATAAATAATAAATGAATATAAATATAATAAATTCATAAATACATAGGATAAGTTCGGAAGAATATGTAATATTTACATATCGTTACAGGGAGAGAGAGATATAACCAGTTTGCAATTTCACTCGTTATAACTTACATTTGTCTCAGTCAATTGCTGCTTCTCATGCAGCACCTTTTGCTTCTCTACCGTCAACTTTATAAATTCCGAGTAAGAAACAAAGGATGGTAGCGGCAAATCACACGTGACTCGACCATACCCCGTGTACAGTCAGGAACCTACAAAATAAGGATCAAAAATTAATCTCCCTAGTGACTGTTCCATAGGAGAAGGAGGCATATCCTTCAGAATGGCTTTTTTTAACTAAAGGTAACAATAGTAGCATCAATTCAAGTAGCAGCAATCTCAGCAGCAGTAGTAGACACAATGGCAGCAGTGAACAGCAGCAGAAGACACGATAGCAACAACGGTAGTAAGAAAAGTGAACAAAAGAAAGTGAAAAAAAAATATACATATATATTTCGTTCTAAAAGCATGATAGCGAAAAATAGTTCGGAAAAAAATTTTAGGGTTTGGAGGGGAATAGCCGATGGTGATCTCCAACTTTACCTTGAACTTGAAATTCAAGGTTATTTGAAAGTCAACTTTATTTTATAAATGGAAACCCCTATGTTTTATCCCGGATTCGAATAGAGCGGGAAATTTTACGTTTAAATCATGTAATATGTATGGGTTCCAAATGACCCCCATCCCACCCCCAAAGTTATTTCGAGGTCAATCTTACTAGGATCCCTCATTTTACGTCGCAGGTTTAAATTCTACGTGAAATTATACGTTCACGTAATGGGATATTTATAGGGTCCGAAAAACCTTCCATCCCACATTTCAAGGTTAACCTTACTTTTTGAATGGGAACCCTCAATTTTTGTCGTAGGTTTGAATTTAGGACTTTGGGGGTGGGGTGGGGGGTCATTCGGACCTCATAAATATCCCATCATCAAGAACGATGTCTTTCAACCTCAGTTAGTGAGGCTAAAAAACATCGAGCTTGAGGATTACACGAGATGGCTTGATATCCCTGTAGGAGGCTATCAAAGCACTTCATCTGTTTACGTTGCACGCTGACTTGAACATGTCGGAGAG